TGCTGAACTTTGCTGGGACTGCCACGGGAGCGGGGGGAGAGGGTTTATAAAGGGCTGCATAATGGGCATAATATCAATTCCCATCATGATGGAAGATTAGGTTCTTAGGAAGACAAACATGATGACAACACATTGACATACAAACCGGAGAGAGAGAGAGAAAGAAAGCAGGTGGTGTGGTTGTGAGATGTGGGTATGATTTGAGAGGAATGTGAAGAGACAGAGAGATAAATACATGCTCAGCCCTCCCCAGTGACAAGATTCAGTTTGTCAGACTGAAACTCCTTCCAAGACACTTTTCAGATCAGTCACCCCTGTGTGGGAGACAGCTGGCATTGCCCCCTTTACCTTCCAGCTCCAGGCAACTGGTGATCCAGACGAAGGGAGTCCCCAGGGACCAGGTCGTAGTCTTGGATGGAAGCAGGTGCTGGACTACGGGGGCAGTGGGGATGGGGGGAAAGGGAGAGGGGTGGAGGTGGATATCCTAGCTCAATGCATGTCCAGATGTCAGCCTATGCTGCTGGAGTGAGAGAGATGCCTCTAGCCCAGCAGTTCTGCTGTGGAGCTGTTCCTCTTGTAGGTGTGTGGTCTCTCTGCCTTCTCCCTCTCACCTTTGCACAGGAAGCTGCCGCTTGCTTGCCTTGTCAGACTGAGACGAGGCCCCGAAGTATCGAAAAGGCTAGTGAGGCCGAGAATAAAAAGCCCCAAACCACGTCCTACTTCCTGCTGGTAAAGCAATAGGTGCAGAAACAAGGGTGGAGGGATCAGGTGTTAGCTTGCAGTGCTCAGATATACTGGGACCAGTTTGTAACTATTGCTGGGAGCTGAGAGAGAGAAGGACCTGTCTTCTTGGCAAACCAGCAAGAGACCCTTAGCTTCCTCTTTCAGATACCCAGACTCTCAGGGTCTGCCCACATGCACAGATCAATCTGAAACCAGGGATAGCTGTCAATCTGCAGCAGAAACACAGTGGACCACTTTGTGAAAAATAACTTGAGTCATTGACCTAAGCAACACCAGAATGAAACCAGCTTCCCCACCAGTGTCCCAGTTTCAGAGGATCCATCCTGGGTCAGAGCAGGATGAGGGCAGAGCCAAGTGTGAGAGAACTTGAGGCACAACCCTCACTCTTGCGGATGGTGTGACACTGCAGGAACACCCATCCCACAGCCTCTCTACCCAGCTAAGTGCCACGCTCACTCCACAAAAGGGAGAATCACCCCCTCCAACCTGAGCCTCACAGCTACTCCAGACAGGCAACACTGCCCTGCAGTAGCTGCAGTGCCTGTTTGGCATGCTTTGTCCATTCAACAGGCCAGAAAGGGATGCAAAACATGTGTCCATCTTCTTCCAAAGCTTTGTGTGCCTTCACCTTTGCAGAGAGATAACTCTTCACATGCTCTTCAGTGCATATTTAGTTTCAGAAGATCAGTTTGCCTCAACCAGGCATCTTCCTCAGCACACATTGCCCTCACCTCCCAAGCCAAAAGAGATGCACAAATGCAAAAATCCTCAGCCCCTTTATTGCTCAGCTACCAGATAGGCACGTACGTGCTTACATGTCCCTGCACACCTCTCTTTTCCCAGACACAAATATAATTCTCTGAAGTGCAGCACATCACATTTCCTGTCTGGTCTGAGCAGCACGAAGATGGACACTGGTGTGAGGCCAGATTAGGAGAAGCTCCTTTTATACACACAGTGGTCACCACACTCAGCACTCCTCACCTTTCTCTCCTAGAGCAGCTCAAGGCTCAAGCAAGCAAGTTTTGCTGACCAAAATTTGCCAGAGGCTAATCTCAAGTCTTCAGGCAATTGCTTTTTGAAGACTATACAAACCTGGAGGATGGGCCCTCCTTTAACAACAAATAGATCTTGGTTTCAGGTAGTGGAAAAAGGGTGTGGGAAAATAATTCGTTTTAATCATGGGCAGCCCAGCGCAGAGACTGGATCTCAGAAGATATCAGACTTCAAAAAGTAAGAGTGTTGGAGAATAACAGTGACTTGGAAGCATGGACTGAGCCATTTTGAAGGAAGTTGCAATGGTGGATCCTTATGGCCATTTCTGGGAGAATCATAGAATCACAGAGCAGTTTGAGTTGGAGGAGAGCTTTAAAGGTCATCTAATCTAACTTCCCTGCAGTGAGCAGGGACATATTTGTCTTCATTGTGCTCAGTTCCCCATCCAACCTGACAGAATCACACAGAATCTCAGAGTGGTCAGGGTTGGAAGGGACTTCTGAGGATTATATAGTTTAACCCCCCTGCTAGAGCAGGGTTACCTACAGTGGATCACACAGGAACACATCCAGACTGGTTCTGAATGTGTCCAGAGAAGGAGAGTCCACAACCTCTTTGGGTAACCTGAATGATGAATGTTTCCAAGGATAGAACTTCTAGAATCTCTCTGAACAACCTCTTCCAGTGTTTCACCATCGTCATAATAATAAAAAAAAATAAAATTCCCTTATATCTATTCTGAATCTGTCATCTTAAGTTTAAAACCATTACCCCTTGTACTGTTGTAACAGGACCTACTAAAAAGTCTGTCTTTCTTATAAGCTCCCTTTAAGTACTGGAAGGCGGTTATAAGGTCTCCCTTGAGCCTTCTTTTCTCCAGACTGAACAACCACAACTCTCTCAGCCTTTCCTCACAGAAGAGGTGTTCTAGCCTTCTGTTCATTTTCATGGCCCTCCTCTGAACCCATTTCAACAGGTTGATATCTTTCATGTAGCCAGAACCAAACACAGTACTCCAGCTGGGGTCTCATCAGAGCAGAGCAGAGAGGGAGAATCACCTCCCTTGACCTGTTGGTCACACGTATTTTGATGCAGCCCAAGATATGGTTGGGCTTTTTGGCTCTGAGCACACATTGCTGGCTCATGTCCAGCTTTCATCCACCAGTACACTCATGTCCTTCTCCACAGTTCTGCTCACATAACACTGCAGTTCAAACTCCACTCCAGCACCAGGTACACTTAGCTGGTTGTATGGAGTGCAACATCCCTTCTCTCACCATGCACAACATGGACCAGAAGTCTGAGAGGTGTCATTTGGATGCTGCTGCTAGTTGTCTGAAGACTCCTTTGCGAGGGGCAAACTAAGGAATCTGACCAGCCAGTCTCTGTTGAAGAGGCTCAGAGGAGAGCATGAGCTGTGTGCTCTCCTGCTCTAGTAATCACTGGCTGAGCGATTGTTGTACTTTGGAGGCTCCCACCAGCTTGGAGCTGGCATGGCATGTATCATCAGGTCACAGCCCACCTTTTGCATGAACTCTTAAAATGAATACAGTTTGTTCTGGTGCAGAAATCTTCAGCTGCAGCAATGAAGTGCTCTGTGAGTAACTTCTTGATATCACCAGCCCTGCAGCTGCAATGCAGCATTCGTGTTAACCATTGTTTTTCCTGTTTGTCCTTCAGGCTGAGAGAACTGCACCTTCCTTCAAACTGGAGATCTTTTTGGGAAACTAAGAGCTCAAACCACCCATTTATTGTTCAGCTTATCATAGAAAAAAACAACCCCAAGCCAAACCAATTAACTGATCCATTTATTTTTTCTCTTTTCCTCTTTTTTAATTTTTTTTTTTAATGTGTAAGAATCAGATAGATTGGTTGTGTGCTGTGAAACCTGAAATAGTAGAAGTGCAGTACTTAACATGTAGTTAGTCCCTAGAGAAGATGAGTAGCTGCTACAGTTAAAAACAAGGATTTATCTCATCAGCCAGTTCACTGGAGAATTTTTTTTTCTAGATCTGGGTCTCTCATGCAGATTTTACCTGTCAAGGACTGATGTCCCATTGAAAAC